CAGCTCCCAAAGCTTAGGTGACCGACGGCTCTCAACTGAATCTCCTGAGATTGTCCTGAGCTGAAGAGAGCTTCTTCATGCATGTCACACACCCAGCCACTCCCGCCCCACCACATCCCGTGATTGGCCCAGGCAGTAGTATAAAGGCCTACCACCCTTACTTCCATTCCAGACAACTCTCCCATGCTCGGAAGGCCATAAGGCCAGCCTGGGCCTTAACTACGACTGTACTATAGTCCAGCTCCCCTCCTGCCTAATCCTGCTGCCTTCATTGCTTGCAGGTATTCCCGAGAGCACCTCCCATAATGCCCTGCATGCCAACCTCCATCTCTCCAGAGTCCGCTTCTCCGGGCACTTGACCTGTGATGTTGTTAAATCTGATTTTCCTTGTGGATAAATTATGGTATGTTGGGCAGTGTAATGGGCTTAATTGGGTCCCTCTTCAAATTCATACTTTCAAGTCCTAGCCCACAGAATCTGAGAATGTGACTCTATTTGGTCTTTTAGGAGTTGGTTTGGATATAGGGCCTTTAAAAGAGCATTCAAGGTATAATGAGGACATGTAGGCAGGCCCTAATCCAATATGACTGGTGTCCCTATAACAAGAAGAAATTAGGATACAGACACACTCAGAGGGAGGGCCATGTGAGGACACAGTAGGAAGGCAACCTTCTGCAGACCTCAGGAGAAACCATAGCTGCTGACACACCTTGATCTTGGCCTTCTAGCCTCCAGGATTGTGAGAACATAAATTTCTGTTGCTTAAGCCATTAGCCTGCAGTACTTGTCACAGCCGCCTGCACAGACCAACAAAGGCAGATTTAGAGGTGTTCTTCATTTTCAGTCCCTATTCTTTCATCTTTACTCTCAAGGAACAACCTGGAAATCTAAACAAGTTAAATTATCCTTTAAGTGTAAAGAAGAAAGGTAATAATTCTCAGTGCATAAAGTTTTCATATTCCCTGAAATATGTCATATTGAGAAAACAATATGTGAATTCCTCCTCTTTATTGCATCTCCCTTTTTAGGACCTCATAAACGTATGGCAGGTGTAAATACACAGTTTGATGATGACTTGGACCTGAGGTGAACTTGGATTTAATGGGAAAAAAAGGACAAAATTTGTAAGTCCTGTCAGTCAACACGTTTTGGCCATTTGTGAAGCAATATCCAGCTGGACTTTTTTTTCTTTAGGTAAATCATAACAGACCATGTCCAACTGCCAGCTTCCTGCCTTTGTATAAAGGAGAAGAGTAAGGAATGCCAAAGAAACAGTTTTGCAGTTTAAGATCTTTTTTTTTTTTTTCCAGCATTCTTGTTTTTCTGAGCCAGCCCCTCTATCATCACCAGTGCTGCACTGGGAAATGTTTACCTTCCGGCTCTCTGACAGTGAAACAAAATGAAACAACCTTGAATTGTAGTTGGCCAATTTCTGTGGTGTAAATACCCACTCTGTGGTCACTGTTAAGTGACCTATGTGAATTCACCGGGCAGGACGCACACAGTCAGCTCTGGGGAGCTGGAGCTAGCTGCCTCCAACATGCCACTGGTTGCTACAGAATCACAAAGGAAGGCTACCTGCTGCCTGGCCTCTCTGCAGCTCTCAGATGCCACCTGCACCCCCCACCCTCGGGAGCATGGGCTCTCCACCTTCCCTCCACATTAGCTAGCTCAGGGCTTGCTTTCACTTGCTGAGTGTTTTGGTAAAGGGCTTACTATTAAGAGTATTTATAAGGTTAGCACAGGTTTCCTGAAAGGATGTTTCTGGCCGCGACCTCAGGGTGTATCTTCATTGCATCTCCCCAAACCAGACAATCACAGCACAGGGGGCTCAGGAGAGCAGCCAAGTCTAGGCTGACCCAGATTCCTAAAGGCTCAATCTCTTCCTAGGCCTTTCCTTACACTCTACTTCTCCCATCTTCTGCCTTTAGTGATTCCTTTGAGCCACGTAGACTTCACTTCCTCTGTGCTGTACGACTCCAGGTTTCACTGGAAGCCTCTGTCCAGGGTTTAAAATGTGCCAAACAGAGTCAAAGGCAATTTGCATACTTAATTGTCACAACGACCTCTCCAAAGAGGCGCTATTTTCATTCCCATTTTATAGATGAAGAAACTGAGGCACACAGAGGTTAAATAACTTGTTCAAGGTCCTACTACTTGTTAGTGGCAGGGGTAGGATTCAAATCAGGCAACATTGCTTCAGGTCTGGATCTTGAAGCAGCATGCCGCCCCCCAAAGAGCAGTAGGGTTGTATCCCCAGAAACCACTGATGACAAGGAATCAATGCTCCTTTTTGCTGTTAGGTGATACTAATAATTGCCAAATATTTCCATTCTACTTAGTCTGGTATGAAGTTACACACACGTGTGTACGTGTGTGTGTAATATCGACATACAGTTCAATAATGAAAAAAAAAGGGAGATCCCTGGGTGGCGCAGCGGTTTGGCGCCTGCCTTTGGCCCAGGGCGCGATCCTGGAGACCCGGGATCGAATCCCATATCGGGCTCCCGGTGCATGGAGCCTGCTTCTCCCTCTGCCTATGTCTCTGCCTCTCTCTCTCTCTCTCTCTCTCTCTCTCTGTGACTATCATAAATAAATAAATAAATAAAATTAAAAAAAAAAAAGAAAAGCCCAACCAGAAGTGATGGAAGTAAGGACCTCAAGGACTTCTGGACTCTGAACATACATGATTCTATTTTTTTTTCTGAACATACATGATTCTAAAGCAACTTAAAGATTTCAGGTGATAGAGTTGTCTGGTTTTCAGATCTAAAATACCAAAAGTTGAGAATCAACATGTATTTGAAATACCACAGGGCTAATGTTCATTGCAGGAACTCAAATGGAATGAAATACTGGCTTGCATTTGAGAATGCCAAACTTCTTTTTTTTCTTTTCTTTTCTTTTTCTTTTTTTTTTTTTGGTCTCATCTTAGTGAAACTGACTTGGTAGGTCTAAAAAAATGAAAAGAGACTTTGTTTCAGTCTTCATTAAGAAATTAATATTCATGCCGAGTGACTTGAATCACAAATAAATGTAATTTGCTCCAATTTGAATTTGTACAGTAATCCTCCCTTATCCATGAAACATACATTCCAAGATCCACAGAGGATGGTGGAAAACGCGGAGTACTGCACCTTATATTACAACTATGCTTTTCCCCATACGTACATGCCAATGATAAAGTTTAATCTCTTAATTACACACAGCAAGAGATGAACAAAAACAGGAATCAAATAGAACAATTATAACAATAAACTGTAAAAACGTTATGTGAATGTGGTCTCCTCACTCTCAAAATATCATAGTGTCACCCTCCTTCCTGTGATGGTGTGAGATGATCAAATGCCCATGTGAGATGCAGGTGTTGTGACATGGTGTTGGATGACTATTGATCTTCTGATACTACTCAGGAGGAAGATCATCTGCTTCCAGAATGTGGTTGACCATGGGTAGCTGAGACTGTGTATAGTGAAACCCCAGATAAGGGGGCGGGGATACTGTCATTTGGTTTGGTTTGAAGCTTCTGAAATGTCCAGTTCTGGGATGGATTTTTGTCTATGGGGACTTTTAAGAGGTCATTATTTTAAAACATTGCAGTGATAGGGGCAATCTGGCTTTTAAAGACTTCCACGCAAATCCTTTTATTTCTCATCAAAATGTTTTTAAAAACATTGGTCATTACTTACTTATAACCTTTCTTCTGCAAATGAAATAGGGCCCTTTTTGGATTGACATGACTGCCTACTTGCTTTCTTATTTGTACTGATGGTTAGTTCTCCGTGTGTTACAGACAACAGATTGTCAATCTCAGCATGTAAAAGAACTGACCTTTCTTCTTTTTTTCATTAAATTAATTAATTAATTTTTAAATATTTTATTTATTCATTCATGAACAGAGAGAGAGAGAGCGGCAGAGACATAGGCAGAGGGAGAAGCAGGCTCCATGCAGGGACCCTGACATGGGACTCCATCCTGGGTCTCCAGGATCACACCCTGGGCTGAAGGCGGTGCTAAACCACTGAGCCACCCTGGCTGCCCCCTTCTTCTTCATTTTAAAAAAGACTTATTTATTGGAGCGAGAGAGACAGAGACAGAGACTGAGAGATAGGAAGGGAGAGAAAGAGCATGGTGGGGAGGGATAGAGGAAGAAGAGAATCTCAAACAGACTCCATGCTGAGTGCTGAGCCCATTGCAGGGCTTGATTTCATGATCATGACCTGAGCAGAAACCAAGAGTCGGACGCTCCCCTGACTGTGCCACCGAGGCACCACTTAACCTTTCTAATTTTGAGCACAAGTTACTTCATATGCATTTTCTCATTTCATCCTCAGGACAATCTTCCTAGCTCAAATTTTATAAATTCAGAGACAAAGATTAAGAGATGAGTAACTGGCTCACAGTTACTGGACTGTGAAGCCTCAGCTCTGCCTGACCCCCAATGCCACCACACCAAGCCATCCTGCTTGCTCCCATTAAAAGGCAATTAACCGATGCATTCCATATCCTTTCTTTGACGTAGTTTCCATAAAACCTCTAAAAAACCTTTAAAAAGATAGGTGAATGGACCGTTTTAACCCAAATTTCCACCTCAGGCCAAACTGACTTGCAGAATGGCTAAATGAAAAAGGAACAATCTAATACTGACAGGAGCCAGAGAACTAGCTAAGCTAACCTAGATGACCAGCTTCTGAACAGGTCAGTGAGGATAACTTCCAGGCTTGCTCAAGCACTAGTTATACAAAGGGGAATATTCTCCTTTTATCCCAGAAGATTGCTTCCCTGAGATTGAAAGGAAGAGGATTTCCTGTGGGCATCAGGGTACCCAGCTCAAAAGATTCACCTGCCAGAGCAAAATCGGGTGGCCTGAAAGTAGCCCTTTAATTCCAAATATTAGTTACAATCCTGAGTGAGGGTGGAATGCCATTTGGAGTGTTGTCTCAAGCAGTTGGGACAAAAAGGAAGTGCATGAAATGTACGTTTTTCCCATCACTACTCACCCTTGCCCACATTTTCCCAGGTGCTTCTCTCTGTTACGCCAAGGAATGTTGGAGCTCTGGATCTTGGAAAAGACAATTCCCGTTTTAGTCTGCTGCCCAGCTTCTTTCTTTTCATAACTCTGCTTAAAGAACACGCGATCTTCTCATGCCGGTGGGTGACTGTACGAAATTCACAGCTTCTTGAATCTGAAAAGAGGTTTAAAATGTGAAAGTGGGTAAACTCTGGCAGAGGCTGAGAGACACTTTTTATCACTTAACGATTGCATCGTAGCAGTTGGAAAAGCCAGATCCATAGTCCCATGAATGGAATCCATCATTCATTCATTTGTTCGTTCAATCATGCCACCGAGGAAAGCACTTATGGTGCTTTCACACGCATTAGCTGGAATTGCAAAGCTTCATAAAATATGACCCTGTCCTCAATGATCCCACAGTCTAATAGACAAACCAAAAAAATGCAGTTCCATAAGATGTTACAGGTACCCTGATAGGAGGTGAGGTGGAGCTGGTGAGGGCACTAGAAGAGGGAGAGGGTAAACTTTGGGTGGAGTCTTGAGAGGTGGGTAGATATTTGCCAGGTGTTTCTTATTGGGGCAGAATGGTACAAGGGAACATTTCTTCATTGTCTATTGTCTATAATTTTAGTTCTGTCGTTGACTGTCATTGATTTAACTTGTCTTTTCACCCTTCCACCCACTGCCTCTTTCTTTTTCTTTCTTTCTTTCTTTCTTTCTTTCTTTCTTTCTTTCTTTCTTTCTTTCTTTCTTTCTTTCTTTCTCTTTTTAAAAAGATTTTATTTATTTATTCATGAGAGACACACAGAGAGAGAAAAGACTCAGGCAAAGAGAGAAGCAGGCTCCCTGCAGGGAGCCCAATGCAGGACTCAATCCCAGGACTCCAGGATCACACCCTGAGCCAAAGGAAGATGCTCAACCCCTGAGCCACCCAGGTGCCTCTGCCTCATTATTCCCCTTTATGTTGTTGCTTTTATCATTTTGAAACCACCAAATGTGCCTGACTATCTCTCATCAACAGCTTGAGAAGGTCACTGAAGCCATATGCTTTTCTTGTTTCCCTAAAATGAGGAAAACTGGTGCTTTGGCAGTGTGGCTTTTAAACAGCTTAAATATGAAGCCCGGAATTTTATTTTTGGGGAAAAAATGGACTGGGCTTTTGGTCAGTTAGTACAGGCCAGTTCTTCACTTCCCTTTCATGATCTCAGAGCTATAAAGTTCAGTTTTGGGATGGTGTGTGTGTGTGTGTGTGTGTGCGCGCGCGCACGCATGTGTATGTGTGTATCCTTATGGACCATTGTTGAAATATATATTCTTAGAAAAATCCTAATATTTAAAACACATGGGCTGCACAGAAATCTCTTTGAGAACTGAGAATCTGAATCTTTGTAAAAGCAAAATGTTTTTCCTATCAAGAATGAGAAGTCAAAACCAAATGGGTATTTGAAAACGTGGAGCAGAAAAATCAGGATTGTGTCTGGCACACAGTAGAAGCTCAGCAAACTGTGTAAGGAATTTATCCAGCTGCCCTTAGGGGGAAGAGATGTCTTTTAGAACCACTTTCCAAACAGAGGGGAGTTGGGAGTTGGTCTCCTTTCACTTCTGCTAGGATGGGAATAGCTTCCTGTAATTTTGGTTTGATAAACACAGTATTTAAGATCTTGGTTAAGATGGGGCAAAGTAAATTTTTCTCTGAGGCACTTGCAGTGGCTAGGCAAGGGGACACAGGCCCATGACTCATTTGCTCGGCCTGACCTATCCATGGTCACCCGAGGATCTGAGCGCCAGGTGGGGGAGCAAACCAGCAGTGCGAGTCACTATGTTTCCAGAATTCTATCCATTTCCCCCTGAGGTGCTTGTGTCTTGAGGCATTTTAACTGCCCAAAGTGTGAGGATCCCGTAAACAACAGTACTAGGCTTGATAGAAAGATAGATAGATGATAGATAGATAGAAAGATAGATAGATAGATAGATTTCATTAATTCTTCTTTGTGAAATGTAACAGAAAAAAACAACTGTAGAGCTGAATAAATTGTCATAAATTGCCTTCCAGGTTAAAGCACAGCATGCTGTCAGGATCCCAAAGTTTTCCAGATGCCCTTCCCAATACAATCCCTTTCTTTAAAAAAAAAAAAATTTGGGATCCCTGGGTGGCGCAGTGGTTTGGAGCCTGCCTTTGGCCCGGGGCGCGATCCTGGAGACCCGGGATCGAATCCCACGTCGGGCTCCCGGTGCATGGAGCCTGCTTCTCCCTCTGCCTGTGTCTCTGGCTCTCTGTCTCTCTCTGTGTGACTATCATGAATAAATAAATAAAATCTTAAAAAAATAATTTAATTTAAATTTAAATTCGATTTGCCAACATACAGTATAACACCCAGTGCTCATCACATCACATGCCCTCCTTAATGCCTGTCACCCAGTTATCCCACCTTCCCCACCTCCCCCAGCAAGCCTCTGTTTGTTTCCCAGAGTCAGGAATCTCTAATGGTTTGTCTTCCTTTCTAATTTTTCAAAGGCAGCACTGCCTTGAGCCTCTTGCAGGGGGCTGTATGTTGGGCCTTGTGGTTTTGGGCTTCTAGATTTCCTCCACTGATGTCCCTTTCCAAGGGGAGAGGATTCTTTGAGGCCAAGAGGTCATGTCCACCTAGAACCCATGTCTCCCTTTCTAGATCATGCACCAAGTACCAGGACATTTGGATTCCCTGTCCAAATGATTCTGAGTCCACTTCCAGGTCTTCCCTGGCCTCTTCCTCAGGTCCACCTGTCCAAGGGGTGGCCTAGGGGCAGATATTTGTAGGAGGCTATGGATGAACATGCATGGACACAAAGGCCCTTGAGGTATGGGATGGAACAGAGGGTGGGAAGAAAAGGTGGATGGCCCGGGAGTCTGGGGGCCACCTCTTCTTGTGCCTCACATTCCAGGGAGAAGCTCTAAGCAATCCAAGAATTCTAGGATCCAACCTGGTCTTCCAGGTTGCCATGAAGATACATTTGTCGAGGTAGGAGGATAAAATAGCTTTTATTCAATCTAGTGTTAGTTTAGTTTACTAAACTAAAATATTAAAATATTTAAAATATTTTAAAATATTTAGGCCAGGGCACCTGGGTTGTTCAGTGTTTGAGCATCTGCCTTTGGCTCAGGGCATGGTCCCGGGGGTCCTGGGATGGAGTCCCGCATCAGGCTCCCCAGATGCCTGTGTCTCTGCCTGTGTCTCTGACTCTCTCTGTATCTCTTATGAATAAATTAATAAAATCTTAAATAAAATAAAATATTTAAGCCTATGACTATGATATACAGTTCTCCATTTAAGCCCCACAATTGTTAGGGGTGAGCCTGCCTAAAGGTCATGATCCTGCCTATTTTGGTAATCCCCTCCTCGCCTTTCTTTATACTTTACCCCTTTGAGTCCGCATTCCAAAACCCTACAGTCACTTTTCCCTGTTTTTGAACTCTGAATAAATAGATCCCACAGTATATACTCTTATATATTAACTTTTTCTACTTAGCATTATGTTCATGAAATTCATCCATGTTATTGTCGGCACCTATAGTTTGCAATTTTTTATTGCCATATAGTACTTCATTGTGTTGTTATCTATCCATTTTAATGTTGAGGGACATGTGAGTTGTCTCCAGCATGAGGCCATTATGAATGAAACTGCTGGGGAGACCTTTATCCATTTCTGTTGTCCATATACCTAAGAATGGAATTTGGATAGATACACATTTCTTCAACTTTACTGGAAAAGGCCAAATTGTTTTCCAAAGAGTTTGTACTAATTTATATTCTCACCAGCAGGGTATGAGACATCCTGCTGCTCCTGACAACGTTTGTAATTTCTTTTTAGTTTTACCCATTCTGTGCTAGGAATATTTTAGTGTCCTCCTCAAGAGGTTTTTTTTTTTTTTCTTTTTCTTTTTCTCCTCTTGATTTGTGTCAGAAGATACTAAAGTGATTCTAAGAACTTAGAGTTTCAAATTGACTGCTGCTAACATCAGTGGAAGTGTATAATAATAAGGACACTACTACTTTATAGTAATATCCATGGTTTTCATTTGAAATATGGCAGCTAAGAGAAGATCTGTAGCCTTGGAAGATTCACAGTAAGAAAATCCAAGCCAAAAAAAAGAAAGAGAAAGAAAGAAAGAAAGAAAGAAAGAAAGAAAGAAAGAAAGAAAGAAAGAAAGAAAGAAAGAAAATAAGAAAGAAAGAGGGGATCCCTGGGTGGCGCAGCGGTTTGGCGCCTGCCTTTGGCCCAGGGCGCGATCCTGGAGACCCGGGATCGAATCCCACATCGGGCTCCCGGTGCATGGAGCCTGCTTCTCCCTCTGCCTATGTCTCTGCCTCTCTCTCTCTCTCTGTGACTATCATAAAATAAATAAAAAATTAAAAAAAAAAGAAAGAAAGAAAGAAAGAAAGAAAGAAAGAAAGAAAGAAAGAAAGAAAGAAAGAAAATCCAAGCCAACAGGGTTGGCCCACACAGCATTTTAAAATAATGCTGATTAGCAGAGTGACCTGGGGGCAGGGGGAGTAAACCACCCCACTAGCCATGCAGTTGGTATTGACCTTTTCCTTTCATAGAGGTGTGCGTGTCTCCAGAGCATGCTCTGACTGCTGTGGCAGTGCTGGGCACAAATTGTGGAATTGTCTAGCTGGGGCCTGTTGGGGCCACCCCAGAAGAGGAATATGAGCTGGGGAAGGCCTTCAGCTTGCAGCTCATTAGCACACCACATCTGGCAGCATCTGTTCCTCCAGGAGGTGGCAATAGCCATGAGCTCAGGTCAACAGAAAGCAAGGGACATGCACGCGTCTCTTCTGCAGCCATGAGCCTAGCCTCCTCACAGCCCACTTTCTTCTTCGTCTACTTGGTCCCTGAGCGTTCTCACTGCACTTTCCTCTTGCCTATATCCTCAACCTCCTTATGCTTTTGTCCTTTTAATGCATCCTCCCAGCCAAAGGCCAGCTCTGAATGTACTCAACTGTTTACTTTCTCTACATCAATCACCCAGCTGTTGAGCATTGCTGGAAAAACCCCACACCCTGCAGATGGTGCCACTCTACACTCGTGATGACCAGTGCCATCTGGGCTCTTGTTATGTCAGCCAGCCCATCTCTGTTTCCCAGGTAAGCTCACCCTCCCATTTCTCCACTTTTCTATTCTAATAATAGA